GGAAAGTTGGCCCCGAAACTCTGTCCCAGGCAGAGGCAATCCATTTCCACAAAACTGCAGATCTAGGGCAATCCCACCAAAGATGAATGGTGGATTCAAAGGCTCAGCCACACCTCGTACAGGTTAAATCGATAGTGAGTCCATGCTCGGCAAGCCAAACTGCCGATGGTGTTGCCAACAGGGATAGCAACCACAAGGTAGCTGCCTACTGCCGTTGACAAGCTATCAGTTTCAACTGTTCCCAACATTTTCCCAATGCTTTGGCCACTTCCTCCCTCTCTATGTTCAGCAATCTGACCCAGCGATCCCTAGCGGTTACCTCTGGGATTTTCGATGGAACCACCAAGTGGTAACCGATTCTTTGATGGTAATCAATCAGACTCATATTTTTCCCCTGGCTTCCTTTGGCTCTCCATGCCCATTGATTCGGGTCGACACGCACCTGTGATACTGGTTTGCCATTGTCAAAAATCACAATTGAAGTTCTTGCAGTTGTGCCAGGGATCTCAAAAATTCTTATCTGCGTAAGTTTCAATCCCACTGGGGGAGGAACGTTTACCTCTTCTGGGCTCGAAGTGTCCTTGCTCCACCAGCTCTGGAAGACTCTTTTGCCATCTGCCTGAGTGTGAACCAATTTCCAAACATGATCATCAGTTGTCGTTTTGCTCTTGAACCAAGTGTCCGCTGGATCGATTCCCTCCGGACCAACTAGGGAAACCCAGTTGGACGGAATTGCATTGATGAGTAGCATCCTTCGTGCTTCCACACGCCATAGTCTCCCCAGTTTCTCCTTTAGCTTTTCCTCCGAAATCCAACCACCTGTCCATTCATCCCATATATCTTTAATTCTCAACACTCCTTTTTTTATCCATGAGCGGCCGAAACTAAAGGGGGCCGAGTCGGCCTTGAACCAATCCCCATTCTGAGAGCGAATGGGGGGGTTATCGAACAATGGCTGAGCTAGAACTTCAGCCTTAGTTACCGGTTCAACCCAAACATCAGGTTGAAGTTTTCTCCATGCCTGAACAATAGCATACCAAAATGGAGACTTAATCATCCTTCGTTGAAAGGAATTCAGGAATAGACAAGTCCAAACATCTTTTGTCCTAAGGAGGTGTCATTCCTTGGCCAAGATACTTTCGGCCAGATACACCCAATGCGCGACTGGGGACTCCAAGCAGGCCCGAAGTATCCATTTAACCAACATAGCCTCATTTTGTTTCTTAGGATCAAGGATACCAAGTCCGCCCTCTTCCCTTGGGAAGCATAGCATTTCCCAGGCCACCTTCGACAAAAAGCTCTCTTCGTCCTCTGTGTAAGGTTTCCAAATAAACCTTGTTGCTCTTCGTTTGATAAGGGCATACAGATGGGGGCCAAAGGCCCTCACTGTCGCCACGAACCATAATAAAGCGAACAGGGCCCCATTCAGTACCATAGCCCGGCCAAATAATGAGAGGTGGGGAGTTTTCCTCGAGGTTACCAGTCTGTGCATGCACTTCTGTAACATAATATCGTCTTGTGTCTCAAAACATTCCCCCAGGGAGATTTACACGCCCAAGACCCATTCGGAGCCCTGCTCCGAAATACGCTTCATTCCCCACTGCACTGCCATCTCGTACGTTTCCGGCAAGAAGTATACCGATTTATGCCAGTTAATGGCAACTTCCGACAGTTCAGCATACTCATCTAAGCAAGATTTGAGGGTTGTAAGCGAGATTAAGGAGTTCTCAGATACTGCAAACAAATCATCAGCCAAGGCTTTCACCTTGTATGATGTAGGGTCAGTCGGCATGCCCTGAATTTGTGGGTGAGCTCTAATATTATTAAGTACCACCTCAAACTGAAGTGCAAATAACAGGGGAGCCAAAGGGCAACCCTGTCGCAGAGACCGAGTCAATGTGAATTCTTTAGAGAGTCTTCCATTCACCATCACACAAGCTATGGAGAGCGAATAGAGCGCTATGACTCAACAGATAAAATTCTTCCTAAATCCCAACCATTTCAACGTGGTGACTACATATGACCGATTGACTCGGTCATATGTTTTCTCCAAATCTAACAGGAGGACTGCAATATCCGTTTGCTCATTGTGAATAAGCTATAACGTCTCGATTTTAGTGACAATGTTGTCAAAAATCGAGCGACCTCTAATGAACGCTGCTTGGTCCGGGACCACAAGGTCCGGAAGATACCGTCCCAGCTGGCGTGCCAGAACTTTGGCTAAGAGTTTGTACGATACATTGAGAACAGAAATGGGTCGCCAATTGCGGATCTCTGAGCGGCTACCTTTCTTGAAAAACAAGGAAATAATGTCCCTTCGCATGTTAACAGGTAGCTGGTCACCCTCTAATATGTTATTGTATAATTCGGTCAAGGGGGAACCCACCTCGTCCTAGATACATAAGAACAGTTCTGTTGGCAGGCTATCACAGCCTGGGGCTTTGCCCTTAGCCATAGCTTTGAGTGCCTCATGAGCTTCAATCTCCGTAATCGGTCGATCTAAGTCCATCTTACCGGGCACGGACAATCTGGTCACTGTGTTCTCCCAGTGAGAGTTGCCCGAATCCAGGCTGTCGTCAATAGCAGCACCTTGATTACGGGATGTAAGAATATCATAAAAATATAGCGAGGCATATTCACAAAGACTAGTCAGTTCCTTTGCTTTAGGTGCGTCAACATCGAATGGATGACATAATTCCTTCATTGGCGGCGAAGTCCGTGACGGTAACAACTTTTGAAACGATTCTTTAGTCAATCTGTCATAAACCTCCACTCCTTTGATCCGGGATCTTTCCGCCCAGATCTCAGAGTGTTTCTGTTGCATAATGTCCCACTCGGTACAGAGTCGGACCCGTTCTTTACCCCAAATTAGCGCAGAGATAGGCTGTTCAGCATCAACAATTCTTTTTTGCAGTTCTTTCTCCTGTTTCTTCCTATCCCCTGCCAGTATGCGTGAAAATACGTTAAGAAGATTGGAGAAGAAATTTGTACCTGCATCCCACCATTCCCCCAAAGAGGAGTAGTGAGGCTTTGCTGAATTTTATTCTTGCCAAAACCGCTTCATCCATTCCACCAGCCTGTTATCTGCTAAATTGCAAATATTAAATTGGAAGAGTTGTTTTCCTCTATTTGCCTGCTGTGTGTGCAACACCATACATACTGGTTTATGGTCCGAAATTGGTTGTGAATTCTCCCCTATACTATCCAACAGCTCCCACAGATTCTCAGAGCACAAGAAATAGTCCAGGCGACGTCTGATATAGCCCACTCCTTGGCGAAGGTTAAAAACCCATGTGTATCCGGGTTGATCCGGATGAGTCAATCGAAAGGGATCAATCAGCTTCAGATCATTCATCAAATTGATAAGAGTTATTTTGTCCTTACATGTTTGCCCACCATAGTTGGATTTGGAAATATGAAGTGAGATATTCCAATCCCCGCCTATGATCAGCATGTCACTGTCTGGTAATATTGAGAACAGTTCATCAATAAAATATGCTTTCTTATTAGTTTCTACCGGTGCATAGACAGAGACAATAGTCCAGGATCTATTATCAAAAAACAATCTGACCCACACCCACCGACCCCATAGGTCGGCATAGTGGTCAAGAATTTCCATTTCCAGTGATCTGTGTAACAAAATTGCAACTCCCCCGCTGGTCCCTTGATCAGGAGACCAGAGCTGGGGGCCGTCCCACCAAGATCCAAGTCGATTAACCCTTTCTTCACTCAATTTAGTCTCCTGGAGACACACAATCTGACTTTTGTTGTCATGTATCCAGGATTTAAGCCTAGCTTTCTTGTACTTTCGATTTTCATCGCAGAGGCCTCTAACATTCCATGTCGCCAACTTTAACTTATTCATTGTCGTTCCTGTGTTCCACTTGTTGGATGTGGGGAGGAGGGAGAATAGCATCTTGTGATTGGGAACCAGCCAACCAAGACAAAGTAAGGGTTCGCTTCATAAAGGCCGAAGCAAGCCGCTTCTCTTTCGGGAGCTTAATATCGAGTTCAGCGAGAAATTCTGCCGTTCGCATCAGCAATGCCGAGAGTCGACGGAATTCGTGCTTTTTGTTCTCAATGATCCACGAAAGTGGGCAGAGCTTGAGCCCCTCAGCCTCCAGCGTCTCCAATTGACCCGGGGCCAGACGAACATCAATTATCGGAACAAAGAACTTCAATTTAGTTCCCCGATTAATCGGGTGATCCATCATGAAGCGAGGCATAATGAAGTCCGGGATTAGCCATAAAATAAATTTATCTCGAATTGCCGGACGAATGATCGCTGTCAGAGCAGTTGGCATCGAAGTGTCAGGAGAGGGAAGAGTTACAAAGCTCAGAGCGCCGTTTGCTAAAGTCCAAGTCATAAACCAAATCGATCCTCATATCGCAAGGACAAAAAATGGAAGAATTCTTACCTCCATATTTTCCGATTGACCTCTTCCCAGCGAAGGTAAAGGTAATCGTCTCCTCGTTGTTTTGGTAACGGGGGTACTAATAATCCGAACATTTCCTTGCGATCCTTCCGAAGAGGATGAAGCCTCCACCCCCGGGGGGTGGGTGTCAGAGATATAACTACCTTCCATGTCCAATCTTCTCTGTTTGCCTGGTGAACTTGGTCGTTGAGTTGTCGAAGAGGCTGGATTGCTTTTTTCTTCTTCACGAGTAAGGATATAGATGGAAAAAAAAAAGAAAAAAGAAGAAACAAAAAAAAAAAGAAAAAAAGAAAAAAGAGAGAGAGAGAGAGAGAGAGAGAGAGAGAGAGAGAGAGAGAGAGAGACAGACAGACAGACAGACGGACAGATGTGTTCCCTTTCGGTGCAGCCTTTGTGCTGCAAACACAGATTCTCGAACCGGCCATATGGGAAGGCCCAAAATTCAGGGTTTTTCCCCGCATCACCACAAGCAATGTCAGCATTTCGGCGAATTTGCGAAATGGACCCAGAATCTGCCTATTGGTAGGCCTACGGTCGCCCTATTGAGTAGTACCAGTAGTGCGCGTGCCTGTTCGTCCGTGTGTGCGCATGTGTGCGCGCGTCTGTGCTTGCCGGAGTGCGTGCATGCGTGCATGTGCGTTGAGTGATTGTGGGGATGCGTGTGTGGGTGCTGTGCTTGCTACACACACACACTGATTGTGGGCGTTGGTGTGTGGATGCTGTGCTTGCCACACACACACACACACACACACGCACAGAGAGAGAGAGAGAGAGAGAGAGAGAGAGAGAGAGAGAGAGCCCCGGGGAACATGAGCAGTCTGCTGCTCTAGATTGATGCCTGAAGCGACCAAGAGTCTAAACCTTTTTTTTTCCCCGTCGGAGGAGCGGTAAGCAGCTCCACACGAAATAGGTATGCCGCGATCTTGTCCTTTCTCCTCCTCCTCCTCCCCCTCGTGCCCCCTTCGCTCTCGGACTCTCCATCTTTCCGCATCCTGTCGCAATACCCGTCTTCACCTGCTTACCCATTTCTCTTCCCCCATGGCCACCTTCCCCTGCGCTGACCTTTCCTTGCCGTTGCTTCAGCTCCCGTCATTGCGCACTGCCCCCGCCCTGCTCGCGTGCGTGCCAAATTTGTTGATTTGCGTGTGTTATACAGAGACAGACACACACACACACACACACACACAC